CTTGTGGGAGAAATGTGGGGTCCGGCACGACTGGGCCTCAGCTTATCACCCCCAGTCCAATGGGCTGGTGGAGAGGTTCAATGGGATGCTAAAGATGATGCTGAAAACCTTTATGAACCAGCACCCGCAGGATTGGGACAAGTACTTACCTCACCTGCTGTTCGCGTACAGGGAGGTGCCCCAGGAGTCTACCGGATTTTCGCCTTTCGAACTGTTATATGGAAGGAGGGTGAGGGGCCCCCTGGACCTGATGAGAGACGAGTGGGAGGGGAAGGCCACTCCCGATGGAGAGTCAGTGGTGGAGTATGTCCGGATCTTCCGAGAGAGACTGGCTGAACTCACGGGCCTGGCCAAGGAGAATCTGGCCAGAGCCCAGAGGAAGCAGAAGGTCTGGTATGACTGCACGGCGCGGGCCCGTGCCTACGCCACCGGGGATCAGGTGATGGTTCTCATCCCTGTGAGAAAGAACAAACTACAGGCCGCCTGGGAGGGCCCTTTCAAGGTTGTCAAGCAGCTCAATGAGGTAAACTATGCGGTGGAGCTGTCGAACCGGGCGCACCACCGCCGGGTGTACCATGTGAATATGATGAAGCCATATTATGCCAGGGGGAAGGTGGTGTTGGCCGTGTGTGGACATTGGGAGGAGCAGGGAGATGACCCTTTAGTAGATCTATTCCCTGGGACCAGAGCTGGTTCCCCCCTGGAAACAATTCCCCTCTCGGATCAGCTAACCCCTGCCCAGCAAGCTGAGGTCAGGGGGGTGCTGCATCCGTACCGACAGCTGTTTTCCAACCAGCCTGGACGCACTAATCTGACTGTCCACCGGGTGCAGACAGGGTCGCACCCGCCGATAAGATGCTCCACCTTCCGAGTCACAGGGAAAACTGCTCAGGACCTGGAAAGAGAGGTCCGGGACATGCTGGCTTTGGGGGTGATCCAGCCATCTGCCAGCCCTTGGGCCTCGCCGGTGGTGCTGGTCCCCAAAAAGGACGGGTCGGTCCGGTTCTGTGTGGACTATCGGAAGCTCAATGCCATCACTGTATCTGATGCCTACCCCATGCCCAAGCCTGATGAGCTCCCAGACAAGCTGGGAGGAGCTCGACACCTTACCACCATGGACCTTACAAAGGGCTACTGGCAAGTGCCGCTGGATGCAGATGCCTGGCTGAAATCGGCCTTTATCACCCCTCTGGGCCTCTATGAGTTCCTGACCCTGCCTTTCGGCCTCAAGGGAGCGCCGGCCACCTTCCAGCGCCTGGTGGATCAGCTACTGAGGGAGATGGAGAGTTTTGTTGTGGTGTACATTGATGACATCTGTGTCTTTAGCCAGACCTGGGAGGACCACGTGTCCCAGGTTAGACAAGTGCTGGACCGACTCCAGGGGGCTGGGCTGACTGTAAAAGCGGAGAAGTGCAAGGTGGGGATGGCGGAAGTGTCTTACCTGGGCCATCGGGTGGGGAGTGGCCGCCTAAAGCCGGAACCAGCCAAGGTGGAGGTGATCAGAGACTGGCCCACTCCCCAAACCAAAAAGCAGGTCCAAGCCTTTATTGGGATGGCCGGGTACTATCGAAGATTTGTGCCCCACTTTAGCACCATCGCCACCCCCATCACTGAGCTATGCAAGAAGGGGAAGCCAGACAAGGTGGTCTGGACCGAGCAGTGCCAGGAGGCTTTCTGGGCGCTGAAGGAGGCTCTGGTCAGTGGCCCAGTTCTGGCAAACCCAGACTTTGACAAGCCCTTTGTGGTGTTCACCGACGCCTCCGACACGGGACTGGGGGCGGTGTTAATGCAGGAGGATGGAAAGGGGGAGAGACACCCCATCGTGTACCTGAGCAAGAAGTTGCTACCCCGGGAGCAACACTATGCGGCCATCGAGAAGGAGTGCCTGGCCATGGTGTGGGCCCTCAAGAAACTAGAGCCCTATCTCTTCGGGCGACACTTCACCATGTACACCGACCACTCTCCCCTGACCTGGCTGCACCAGATGAAAGGAGCCAACGCGAAACTCCTGAGATGGAGCCTGCTCCTGCAGGATTACGACATGGACGTGGTCCATGTGAAGGGAAGTGCCAACCTGATAGCGGATGCGCTGTCCCGGAGAGGGGGCCCCGAACTTCCCCAGGTCACTGGTCACAGTGACCCCGCTCAGTTCGGTCTCGAAGGGGGGAGAGATGTGACGCAGCAGGGAGGGGGGAGTGTTGACCTGGGAATGTGGCAGGGGAGTTTCAATGGGGATGGGTTTCAGAGTAACAGCCGTGTTAGTCTGTATTCGCAAAAAGAAAAGGAGGACTTGTGGCACCTTAGAGACTTTCCAATTTATTTGAGCATGAGCTTTCGTGAGCTACAGCTCACTTCATCGGATGCCTTCAGTGGAAAATATCCGATGAAGTGAGCTGTAGCTCACAAAAGCTTATGCTCAAATAAATTGGTTAGTCTCTAAGGTGCCACAAGTACTCCTTTTCTTCTTTCAATGGGGATGGGAGACCTGAGAGTCTGTAACCTGAGCCAGGATGGGGAGGGGGAGGTAACACCTCTGCCCGGGAAACTGGACAAAGGCTGCAGGAGAGAGCCTGCTGGGGGGGCGGGGGTTGGTTTCAGTTTTGTGCTGGGTGGTGGAACATAGGGCACCCCAAGCTCCCTACCCCCCAGAAGGACTCGACTGAGGGGTCCTGGTTGTACCCACAAGCTCTGTTTTAGACTGGGTTCCTATTGTCCAATAAACCTTCCGTTTTACTGGCTGGCTGAGTCACGGTGAATCCCAGGAAGAGGGGTGCAGGGCCCTGACTCCCCCACACTCTATGACACAGGGCTTGGACTGTCCCAGCGGGACTCAGGCTCTGACCCTCCCCCTGGCAGGGCCCTAGGACCTGGCTGTGCACTGACCCGAGTCAGACTGATTTGAGTGTGGACGGAAAGGGGGCTTGGGCTCAGCCCTAAGTCAGAGCCTGGGCATGGTGAGCTGTGTAGACGCCCTCGGTGTCAGCAGGAGATCGAGGTTTTGAACCCCACCCTCGTGATCCCAAACTCTTTGTTTACTCCCACGCCCGCAACGCTCTGCAACTGTGACCTGCCATCCCTGTGTGGCCGGCTGCTTGGTCGTATCCAGCCCTGGCATTATTACTGAGTGTCATCACTGAGACAAGGGGGAGCTGGGCTGGCTTATTCCAGGGCTGCCTATGGCCCCAGTTGTGCCTAGGGACACCCAAAGCCTCTGCTGCCCATAGCCACAATGCCGGTTGCTTTCCAAGGGCCTGGTCCCTCCCCGCATAGCCTCCCATGGCTCTTGGCTCAGTCCTCGAGGCAGATAAAAGGAGCCCGGCTGTGTGGGACCTGGAGGGCGCTTGGCAGAGAGGCTGTCTCCGTGACAGCGTGGCAGTGATTTTCCAGCAGTTTCTAGCCTGACATGAATAGTTGGTGGAGTCCTGCTCCTGGGTCAGACCCAGGAATCTCTTACTAGCCATGTGGCAGGGTCTGAGCCCCGAGTACAGCCCCCCAGTGTCCTGGGGAAAGGGCAGCCCAGCTCCCATCTTTGCCTTTGGTCTGTCTGGGCCGCGCAGAAGCCCTGGCTCAAACCCGTCCGGATCTGGAGAGTGATCTGATGCAGATCTGGTTCCAGAACCAAGCCTTGCTGCTCAGCCCCGGAGCTGCTCTGGGTAAGGAGGGACACCCCCCAATGGGACATAATGCAGCTCGTCTTCTAGCCAGGGGGTCCCACTAGCACCTGCCCCCCGCGAGTGAAACCTGAGTCCCCAGGAGCCCCCATGGTGGAATTGCAGCCTCCACAGCTGTGTGCTTTGAGGCTGCCCCATTTACCATGTGCACTGGAGTCGTGGCTAATGCAAAGCCCAAGAGCCACAGGAAGAAGCTCTCCGAGACCCAAATGCAGCCCTTGGCTGTGTGTACTGTGTGATCCCTAAAGACTACAGGTCCCATGCCACACCTTGAGCTGACTTAATGCCTCGGAGTTCTCCACCCCTTGCATGTGCACCGTTGCCCTCTCCAGGACAGAGCCAGAACCGCTGCACTGTGTCTCATAGACTCTGCACAGGGCTGAGAACTGGAGCAGGAGGAGGGGCGCGCCGTCGCCGTGGGATGAGGCGTGTGCCCGCAGGCCTGGTGCAGCATTGAACCGGGGGGCGGCTGCAATCTGCTCCAGAGCAGCCAAACTGGAAGAGGCTCTCGGGCTCCTGCCAAGTTTCCCACCCTTGGCCTGGTGCCGTTCTCGTGTCCTGCGCTGGGGGCTGTTGCTGGGACGTGGGTTGCTGGAAGCTCCAGCAGCCAAGCAAAGTAACTTTTTTCATCCAGGCCTTTTTAGGGTTTGCTCCCTTGACTTCGCTCCTGATTCTTTGGTGACATTTCAGGTTCGTCCCCTTGGGCCCCCTGCCGGACCCAGCAGCAGCGCAATTAGCCGTACAGGCTGCTCTCCCAGGGCAGGTGGCATGGCCCAGTGGGCTGGGAATGAGCTAACGCCTTCTGCCTCTTTATGGGGGGCACCCACGGGGACTTCGCTTCTAAAGCTTTTCACCTCTGGAGGGCTGATTCCAGTCCAGCCCGGGGAGCAGGGGACACTTGCTGCAGCAGCCAGGGTGCGATGAGCTGATCTGAGCCCCGTTCCTTGTTCCACGTGCATCCGTGTTACAGGACCAGCCGGCCCAGTGAGCACTAATCTGCCCTCTCTCCAGCAGAGCTGCCAGGGACTCCGAGATTGAGAGAGGGTCTTGCCGGGTGCTGGGAGACAGGTGGGGGGAAGCTTCCCCTGGTTCTGCCCAGCTCCTCCCACCAGCGTGAAATTGACTGTGCCCGCGGGAAGCAGCCAAGCAGGGCGACGACGGTGTATGTCGAACAGCCCCCCTTTCTCTCTCTCTCTTTTGCATTCCCTCTCTCTGCCTGGCACGCGCGTGAACACACACACACCCCCTCGTGCTCTCTGGTGCACACATGTTCTCTCTTTCACTCGCACCCTTTCTCTCTCTCTCTCTCTCTCTCTCTGTCTCTTTAAGGGACTCCAGTGAACCGAATCCCCATCATGGCCAAGCAGGTGCTGGACCTGTACACGCTGTACCGACTGGTGACCGAGAAGGGCGGCCTGGTCGAAGTGATCAACAAGAAGATCTGGCGGGAGATCACCAAAGGCCTCAACCTCCCCACGTCCATCACCAGCGCGGCATTCACTCTCCGCACGCAGTGAGCTGCTGCCGCCTTGCAGGGCGCGCGGGAGAGAGCTGGGCTGGGGGTGCCAAGGGGGCAGGGTCTGGAGGGTGGGGAAGGGAAGTTATGGGAAGGGGGGAACCAGATTGGGAGGACCAGGCTTTGCAGAGGGGGTCAGCCCCACTCCAGCGCCATCCCAGTGGCTCCTGCTTCCCGCAGGGTTTGGCCGGGTCCAGTAGTGATGATGGTGTGGTCGTCGTGAGGGATAATGGCCGGCGTGTGCGCCATTTGCCCTCTGGCGGCCGTCCCACAGGGACGCTGAAGGCCTTTCCTCTGCCCACCACGGGGCCTCTCCCTTAGCTCAGGTAGTAGAGGCCGCCAGTTTGCGCCCCAAAGGTCCAGGGGTGGCTCAGAGAACGTCAAGGCTGCCAAGAGGACTCACTCAAAAGTCAGTAAACGCCAGAGTGAAGGTTGACGACCGAACCGTAACTCTGCCCCTTGTGGGTTTGCACCTGCATTTGTGCAGCGCCTAGCACCGTGGGGCCTCGATGCTGAATGGGCTGACACAGCCCTGGCTGGGATGATTTAATTGGGGACGGGTCCTGCTTTTGAGCAGGGGGTTGGACTAGATGACATCCTGAGGTCCCTTCCAACCCTGAGATTCTATGATTCTATGATTCTAGGCAACGCTGCAACCCAATCATTAATGGTAACACCAGACAGGCCTTGCCATAGGTGCCGACTCCCCCTCTAGCCGGGGGGGGTGCTCGACCCCCGCTCCACCCCGAGCCCCGCCCCCACTCCACCCCTTCCCCCAAACCCCTGCCTCACCTCTTACCCGCCTCCTCCCCCGAGCATGCCCCGTTCCCGCTCCTCCCCCTCCCTCCTACAGCTTCCTATGTGCCGCGAAACAGCTGTTTGGGTGGGAGGCACTGGGAGGGAGGGGGAGGAGTTGGTCAGAGGGTGAGAGGTGCTGGGGGGCAGAGGGGAGGGGGCAGCTTGGCTGCCAATGGGTGCTAAGCACAGGGTGGCTGGAGTGGTGAGCCATTGTCCTTGGATGGGAGCATTGCTCTGAACCCTTTGAAATGCTCACGTGGGGTCATTAACCGGCCAGCCGGCAGCGGTGCAGGGTGGAAGATGCCACCAATCACAGCCAGGGGCTCATCACCCTCTGTGTCCCCCTCGCCCCCGCCCCCCTCCAGGTACATGAAATACCTGTACCCCTACGAATGTGAGAAACAAGCCCTCAGCTCCCCCGGCGAGCTCCAGGCCGCCATCGACAGCAACCGGCGAGAGGGGCGGAGGCAGACCTTTGGGACGGCGCTTTTCAGCTACTCCCCCGTGGGCACCCCAGCCATGCTGGCCTCCCCGAAGATCCCCATGCCGGCCCTCACCGTCTCCACGCACAGCTGCAGCCAGACGAGCCAAGTGCACGCCATTAAGAAAGGTGGGCGGGGCGGGGAAGCCCCACAGTCAGGAGGAGATGGGGGACGGGGCCGCCTTCTGTGGGACGGGATCGCAGCATCCGCCAGCAGCTAGTGGGGGCTCGCCTTTGGCCCCGGGGGCAGGAGACGCGGGTCTGTCCCCCGTGCTGCACGCACGCTGCTTAGTGGGTGGATCGTGGGGATCCAGCCGAGGGGGCTGCCCCGGGAAGGAACTTGGCCACCCACTCGCTGCTGGACCCCGCAGAGGCCACGGTGTCCCGGTCTGCTGCAGTCTGGCAGGCAGTTCTTGGGGGGTAGACACCCAGCTGGTCCTAGTGGATGACCCCGGGCAGCTTCCTGGAGGCAGGCGATGTGCCCGGCTCCCTAGCCAAGCCCCCGGAGAGGGGAAATGCCTTCCCGGCGACCCCGCTGGCCATGCCTGGGCACAGGAGCGGCACCGTGCGTGGGCACCGCTGCTATGGGGATCCCAGCCTGGCAAGCGCCCGGATTCAGGGGCTGCTTTGACTCCAGCCCCGAGGAGCTTGCCCACCGCGGGGCGTTGGTCTGGCGGCCAGCAGAGGCCGGGAGGGGTCAGCAGCTCGGGGAGCCACTCTGCCCCTCGTCACGCAGCCGGGCACAGGAGCCGGCTCCTTCCGCCCCGGCGTCTCTCCGGGCACAGCACCGCAGGGGCCCTCCTGCGCTGGCCCCAGGGGAGGGGGCCCAGCCCACCCTCTGGCCCTGCCAGCCCCTGAGCCCCTTGCCCCGCCTTGCGGTTCCAGAAGACGGCGTCCTGTCCGCGGCGGTGCCCAGCCGCATCGCCATCCCCGTCAGCCTGGCAGGGCACCACGTCGCCGCGGCCTCCCAGGCGGCCGCGCTGGAGCAGCTGCGGGAGAAGCTGGAGACGGGGGAGCCGCCCGAGAAGAAGGTGGCGCTGATGGCGGAGGAGCAGCAGCGGCTGATGCAACGCGCCCTGCAGCAGAACCTGCTGGCCATGGCCTCCCAGTTCCCCAGGAACATCAAGATCAGCAACCGAGGTCCCGGGCGGGGGGGCGGGGCGGGCAGAGGGGGAGGGGCAGAGGGGCAGGGGCAGGAGCGGGCGGAGGGGGAGGCGGAGGGGGAGGCAGAGGGGCAGGGACAGGGGCGGGTGGGGCAGAGGGGGAGGGGCAGAGGGGCAGGGACAGGGGCGGGTGGGGCAGAGGGGGGAGGGGCAGAGGGGCAGGGGGAGGGGCAGGGGCAGGTGGGGCAGAGGGGGGAGGGGCAGAGGGGCAGGGGCAGGGGCAGGTGGAGGGGGAGCAGAGGGGCAGGAGCAGGGGCAGGAGGGGCAGAGGGGGAGGGGGAGGGGCAGGGACAGGGGCAGGTGGAGGGGGAGCAGAGGGGCAGGAGCAGGGGCGGGTGGGGCAGAGGGGGAGGGGCAGGGGCAGGGACAGGGGCGGGTGGGGCAGAGGGGGAGGGGCAGGGGCAGGGACAGGGGCGGGTGGGGCAGAGGGGGAGGGGCAGAGGGGCAGGGGCAGGGGCGGGTGGAGGGGGAGCAGAGGGGCAGGGGCAGGAGGGGCAGAGGGGGAGGGGCAGAGGGGGAGGGGGAGCAGAGGGGCAGGGGCAGGAGGGGCAGAGGGGGAGGGGCAGAGGGGCAGGGACAGGGGCGGGCATCACAGCCTCGCTGGCTGGCGCCTTGTGACTGTCTGAACAGCTGTACCACCATGGGCTGTGACATGCTGCTGAGCTTGAAGCTAAGCAGGATCAGGGCTGCTCACTGGGTGGAGGGGGGACCCCAGCCGGGTGCCCCATTCCCCATGCTGTCCTCCGAGTCGGTACTGAGCCAGCAGCCCTGCACGGTGTTCAGGGACCGCAGGTTTGTTCGCCCTGGAGTCCCCGCAGGGTCCCTCCATGCGCCCCCCGGGCGAGATGCTCTTCCTGGAGTATTTCACTCTGGCGGCGGGACATGTGGCTGGTGGAGATAGGGCTGCTGTCTCCCCTGCCCATCTCCTGGAGCTCGAAGGAGGGAGCGCAGTGGAGAGCGGCTGAGCGGACCCAGTCCAGCCCTTCCCTGCGTGGGACAGATTCAGTCAGAGCCTGCTGGTCTCGTCACACCCACGCTGCTCAGCCTCTGGTGGGTGCCTGACCCGCACCCGGCTGGCCTGGCCGTCCGGGGGGAACCAGCCGGGCTTTCCTGGGGCTCACATGGTATCTCTGCAGGTACCAGCCATAACACAACTGCCCTGGGGTGAGGACTGCTGTTCCCCCCGCCAGGGGTTAATGAGAACCTGCGAACACACCGCAATAGAGCAGAGGGACAGGGCAGGATGGGGGCGGGGGCCACCCCGTGTTCCTAGATTTGTGATCCAGTGTGATGGCGGTGAGCACAAGCCGAACCCCCGGTGGATTCGGGCGAGCAGAATGTCTGATCTAGAATGAGAGGGATACATGTGGGTGGATAGAGAGGCACGTATGTTGTGTAGAGGGGTATGGACGATGTAGAGACAGTGAGCTAGATAGGGGTTATGAACAGATGGAGGGAGACAGAGAGACAAGGTGGGGGAGGTGATATCTTTTATTGGACCAACTTCTGTTGGTGAAACAGACAAACTTTTGAGCTACACAGAGCTCTTCTTCGGGTCTGGGAAAGGTAGATAGAGTGGTTTCCCCAGGGAATTGAAATTGGGGGGGGTTCGAATTTACGGGAGCGGGTGTCAGGGCCAATGAGGGGTGAGACCGTGAGGGTGAAGGTGGGCTGCAGGGCACTATAGTAAAAACTGAAAAATGTTTCATGACCATTTTATTAGATTTTAAAATCATCACACAACTTAAAGTTGGTTTCAGAGGAACAGCCGTGTTAGTCTGTATTCGCAAAAAGAAAAGGAGTACTTGTGGCACCTTAGAGACTAACCAATTTATTTGAGCATGAGCTTTCGTGAGCTACAGCTCACTTCATCAGATGTTTACCGTGGAAACTGCAGCAGACTTTATATACACACAGAGAATATGAAACAATACCTCCTCCCACCCCACTGTCCTGCTGGTAATAGCTTATCTAAGTTGATCACTTTAGATAAGCTATTACCAGCAGGACAGTGGGGTGGGAGGAGGTATTGTTTCATATTCTCTGTGTGTATATAAAGTCTGCTGCAGTTTCCACGGTAAACATCTGATGAAGTGAGCTGTAGCTCACGAAAGCTCATGCTCAAATAAATTGGTTAGTCTCTAAGGTGCCACAAGTACTCCTTAACTTAAAGTTGGCTACTCAAGCCTTCTATGAAGCACTACGTCTGCATCCTTCCTGGTTTCTTGTTATAATTTTGCACAACTCTGTTAATGAACTTCGTGAATGCAATGCGTTCAGCTTTGGTGGCTTCTCGTGTGTCCGGTACTTCCAGTCCTTCCATGGATATACTCATTAGTTCAGTCACAGGATCAGGCAGAAGGCGACGTCTTTCTGAACACAAAATTCTATTCAATGAGGCAAAAGAACGCTCAGCTGTGGCTGTTGTGACTGGGAGTGGCAAGAGATGAATTCCCACTTCTCTCAGCCCAGGAAACAGAGCACAAAGATCGGGTCGAGCCTCTAGTGATGATAAAGAAGTTGAAGTCAAATCTTCATTCATTCGTCGTAGGATATTCCACTCTGTGTTCAAATTCTCTATTCTCTCCTGAGCACACGGCAGCCCCATGGCTGCTCGTGCCTCACTCCATTCAGCTGTCGGTGTTTTATAGGACAGGGATCTGTAAAAGCTGCATAGAGGTTGAGCAGAATCTAGAAGTCGCTGTTGTCGATTTTTAAGAATCTACTCTGTGTACTTTTTCAGTTGTCTTAACAAACACTTCTTGTCCTCTTCACTTAAGGATTCAATATAAACGCCTTCATTAGTCAACTTCTGGACTGACGTCTTTGCTTCTTCCAGTACTTTTTCAATGGATAGCTCTCTGATTGATCCAAATGTATCTTCTGTTGCTGGACAAAGATCTACTATTGTTGTAGCAGATGCCTGGATGGCATTGTTTAATGGCCCAAGTGCTTTCAACAGTAGACTTACGAGAGAGAGAGAATGACAATAGTCTTCTCTGAACGTAGTAGCAAAAGTAATCCACCAGCCTCACTACTTAGATCCATCCCATCTTGGTAGATACTTTCCAAAGCCAGTATTAACGGCTGGAGTAATTTTAAGACAACAGCCAAGGATCGCTCATGAGAAAGCCAGAGGGTTTTCCCAGGTTGGACTAATTTGAACTTCAGTCCCAGTGTATCTTCTATACTTTCCAAGATATTCAGTCTTTTTGGACTCTTGCTGAAAAAAGAATACAATGAAGACATTAAATTTGTAGCTTTTTAAATGTCTTTTGAAGAGTCTGCAGCCCGTACTAGCACTGCTTGGAGTAGATGGCCTCTGCAGTGTGTATAGGAGAGGCTAGGGTTACACTTTTCTCTGAGCAAAGCTTGTGCTCCACCGTGTCTTCCAGAGAAGTTTGCACAAATGCACAAGCAGCCATCTGTTTGGGGTCCTATTGACAAGCATTTAACTCTTCTAAGATGTGGGTTGTCACAGATGCAGCCAATCTGTCCTCTATAACTTGAACATCTAGAAATGCATCTACTGGCCTACCGCTGACATCAAGATAACGTACACAGTGACTTAATACTTGATGCCCATTTGCATCGGTGCATTCATCAGCCATGTATGCAAATTTTTTGAATGTGGTGAGAGAGTTCTTCACTTTTTCTACTGTTGAGTCTTTCATTGTTGCATCACGTGCTTCTAGCCAGTCCGTTGAGTTTCCTGCAGAAAGACAGTGAGCATTTGCTGGTCTTGTTCGGAACCAGTGTCCAACTCCAGGATGAACAAGTGACCATGCACTTAACATTGGCCTCCAGTTCATAGTGTGTGGCATCTCTTGCTTAAATAGACAGTAGGATGCCACAGCCATGTTTGTTCGCATGAACTGTGTTGTGTCTCCAGCATTCTTAACAGCCTCATTAAGTACTTATAAAATTGGCTTTGAAAGGGGCTTATGAGGCTTTCTGCATGTTGATGCACTCCAGAGGCCCTGTGTTTTGCAGCCTTTTCACGTAGTTTGTCAGCATTGGCTTTGCTGATCGGTTTGACAAACCAAGCTCCTCCACTTTTTCCAATTATAGCACTGGGAAGCTTTCCTTCTTCATAAGCTTTTTTGCAAGAGGTGCACCAGTAGCCATCTTTTGTAACTTCAGTAAATGGGAACACTTTGACCGACAAACATCGGGAACTGCCTTTAGGTTTTGGAGACACGGTTTCTTCAGTAGGTAGCTGTTTTCGTGCTTCGGGCTGGCCGGATGTAGATACACCACTTGACCGTTCAGACGACATGTTGATATAGTCTTGGTTCTTGACGTGTTCTTCACCTTGGTTAGTTTTTGAGGCCTTTGAGTGGAAAAATTGTTTTTTGTCTTTTCATTTTCACTTTGACCTGCAACATATAAAAGAGATCTGAATAAAGTCAGTGTTTTGTTAGGATAATGCAAATTTAACGTAAGGATAATGCAAGTTACACCAAAACACATAACAGGTCTAGATTTCTAAAAAGATATAATTTTTTTTTAAAAATGTATTTAATTTAAATTGACTTTTGAAAAGTAAGCCATCCTGGGATAAGAGGGAAGTCCTCTCATTGATCAGTAACTGATTAAAAGATGGGAAACAAAGGGTAGGAATAAATGGTCAGTTTTCAGAATGGAGAGAGGTAAATAGTGGTGTCCCTGAAGGATCGGTACTGGGACCAGTCCTATTCAACATAGTCATAAATGATCTGGAAAAAGGGGTAAACAGTGAGGTGGCAAAATTTGCAGATGATACAAAATACTCAAGATAAGTCCAAAGCAGACTGTGAAGAGTTACAAAGGGATTTCACAAAACTGGGTGACTGGGCAACAAAATGGTTGATGAAATTCAATGTTGATAAATGCAAAGTTGCAAAACACAATCTCAACTATACATACAAAATGATGGAGTCTGAATTAGCTGTTAACACTCAAGAAAGAGCTCTTGGAGTCATTGGGGATGGTTCTCTGACAACATCCACTCAATGTGCAGTGGCCGTCAAAAAAGCCAACAGAATGTTGGGAATCATTAAGAAAGGGAGAGAGAATAAGACAGAAAATCTCATATTGCCTTTATATAAATCCATGGTTTGCCCATATCTTGAATACAGTGTGCGGATCTGGTCACCCCATCCGAAAAAAGATCTATTGGAATTGGAAAAGGTTCAGAGACAGGCAACTAAAATGATTAGGGGTATGGAACAGGAGGAGAGATTAAAATGACTGGGAATTTTCAGCTTGGAAAAGAGACGACTAAGGGGGGATATGATAGAGGGCTATAAAATCTTGACTGGTGTGAAGAAAGTGAATAAGGAAACGTTATTTAATCCTTCACAGAACACAAGAACTAGCAGTCACCCAATGAAATTTATAGGCAGCAGGTTTTAAAAAAACAAAAGGAAGTATTTCTTCACACAACATAAAGTCAACCCATGGAACTCTTTGCCAGGGGATGCTGTGAAGACCAAAATTATACAATAAAAAAAGAACTAGATAAATTCCTGGAGAATAGATCCACCAGTGGCTATTAGCCAGGATGGGGAGGGATGCAACACCATGCTCTGAGTGTCCCTGGCCTGTTTGCCAGAAGCTGGGAATGGGCGACAGGGGATGGATCACTTGATGATTCCCTGTTCTGTTCATTCCCTCTGAAGCACCTGGCATTGGCCACTGTCGGCAGACAGGATACTGGGCTTGATGGACCCTTGGTCTGACCCGTTATGGCCGTTCTTATGTAAAAATTAATTATAATAATAAAAATGTTTAGTACAGAAAGTCCCCAACATAATGACCTCTCAGGATAGCAACAATGTGAGATAACAACCTTGGCAAATAATGCATTTTAAAAATCTTGGCCTACTAGGAAACATATGTATATAAGTTTCCATTCCCAGTTACAAATCTAGCATTCTGGAGCAAAGTCACTAAAGTATAGTCCAACAAACAAATGTTTATTTAACGGGCCCCTCACTTTTCCTTCTACCGCACCCCCACTCACCGGTGTTGTCCTTGGTCAGTGGAGACTCAGAGTTCAGAGGTGCTTTCACACGAGTTCACCTCCCAGGTTTGGGGCAAGAAGGCGCCTTGCTCGTTCCTCCAGCTGCTCACTGTTCACTCTGGCCACTGCTGTTCGTTGTGCCCCCGTTCACTCCATCGCTCTGTTGCCAATGGCCCTGCGCCGTCACCTTCGGCTGCCACCTGCCACTGTGACCTCTGCGAGTTGGTCTCTTGAGGTTCCACCGGCTCTCGGTGATTTCAGCCGAGCTCTCAGTGGGGGAACCTCGCTGCTAGTGCAGACTGGGCCGTCTCTTCCACAGAAACACTGTCCCACAGCAGGTCTAAGTGCTTAGTCCTGATTATCAGTGATTTCAGCTGTAGTGGTCACTGAACACAACAAAAGACTCTCTATGGAGCCTAATCAGCTCTGTCCTTAAACAGGGGAGAGAGGCAGGTCAAACAGTACTTGTGACTCAGACAGACCGTCAAGCAAAACACCTGTCCCCACCCTCTCTCTCCATGCCCTCAGTCAGCACAGGCTAAGTACAGTTCTACTGCCCTTTACTCCTATCATAAGAAAAACAACATTTCATTCCCCCCCTTCCCCCCTCATTCAAGTGATTTGTAACCTAACCCCAGCCAAAATCTATCACTTGGGCAAGGCAGCTCTGTTTGCTGGATACCTAGGTAGATGAGGTGTGAATGTAAATACAATCTGGTCCTGAAGCCTTTCCCCCCAGCTCATCACTAGCTGTCCGGGAGAGCTCATTTAGACTTTGCTTACAAATCATGATTTGAAATGATTAGGTTGGCCAACATCACTGAAATGAATTCACTGACATGGTCATAAAAACAACAGCTGTACAGGGAAGCTAGTCCATGTTCATACTTTTCAAATCTATGATACTTTTTCAGATACACTTACTTTATCATACACTGTATATGCTTTTAACGTGTGTATTAACGTTTCCATTTCAATTCAAATTTCCAAACAGTCACTAAATTGGCATGTAACTAGTTCACAAAACTGGGGTGGGGGGGAATCACTGTATGTATAGATGAGGAGGTAGGGAGGACACACCAATAAATGGCTAGGGAGGGAGGCATAGCTCGATGGATGGATGAATGGGTACCTAAAGCTGGATGGATGGATGGATGGATGGATGGATGGATGGATGGAAGGAAGGGGGCATGTGGGGATGGATGGATGGATGGATGGATGGGGACGTGTGGGGATGGACTGGTGGATGGATGGATGGATGGATGGATGGAAGGGGGCATGTGGAGATGGACTAATGGACGGAGGAATGGATGGATGGAAGGGGCATATGGGGATGGATGGATGGATGGATGGATGGATGGATGGATGGATGGATGGATGGGGCATGTGGGGATGGATGGATGGAAGGGGGCATGTGGGGATCGATGGATGGAGGGATGGATGGACGGATGGACAGATGGATGGACTGATGGACAGAGGGAGGGATGGCTCAGAGTACGTATAGATGGGAAGGTAGAGAGGACATACCAGTGAATGGCTAGGGAGGGAGGCAGAGGGGTACCTATAGCTGGATGGACGGGCAGATAGATGGGTATGTATCGATAGACAGCGAGAGGAGTACGTATGATAAGTGGAGAAGTAGAGATGGACGGATAGGGGGCGGGCTGTGATGACCAGATCTTGCGCCTCACCGGTACTGCTCATTGGATGTTACTTTTGGGGGAGCCTGTCAAACCCTATTGCTGTTGCCTGGTGACACCAGGACATCATCGTGCAAGTCGGCACCACGTGATTTTGTGCCCCAGGGTGTGAAGAGACTCTCCCTTCCAACAAACGTGGCAGCCACGGGGAGTGATGGGAATTGCTCCCCAAGCTGGGCCCTGCGAGATCCCGCCCTCTGCCCCAGCAAAACTGGGGAGGAAAATGTCCCAGTTGCTAACCCAGAGAGCCAAACGGGGTTAGCCAGCTGGCTGGAGCAGGTGGGGGGGCCCATCCCACTGGCTTTGTTTCCCAGGCAGGCCTGTCTAATTTCTGTTTCTCTTAATGCTCATATCGGTCTTTCCTTTCCCTCAGATGACAGACAGGAGACCGCATTGAACCTGTCCACCAACGGCATTAGCAGCATCAACATGTCAATAGAAATAAATGGAGTTGTCTACACAGGTAAATAGAAGGGCTGCTCAGCCCATGTAATTGCGGCCAGGAAATCCAATAAGTTATAGCCACTGCCCGGCCGGCGAGTCCTTCCTTCAATCTGATGTCTTTACTATAAAATCCATTGTAATGAAGTGGCAGGGCCGAGCATGCTGGGGAGGCGGGGGCGGGGAGGCAGAGCTGCAGATTGCCCTGGTGAGCCCCAGTCAATTTGGTGGTGGAGGGCGCTGGGTGGGCGGAGGGGGGAGCAGCACCAGAGGCCTGGGCTTTAATCACTGCGGGATCAGTTGGCCGTAGCGTGGGGGTGGGGACTCACTGCACAACCAGGGGGACTGGCACAGACAGATGGAGGGACTTATGCTGCAGCCAAGACGGTGGACGGCGGCTCCCCAGCTCGTGCCCGCTGGAGAACTCACCTTCCAGAGCCAGGAATGGAACCCAAGATCCCTGAATCTGAACGTTTCTTTGCTGTCCACAAACGTCCATCCATGAAACCTGCTGGCAAAGTGTCTCCCATGGCAGTGGGCTAGCAGGAGGGCTATGCACCCCAGACATCACCGGCACCCCAAGGGGCACCAGCCGCTCTGCACAGGGGTGAATTTCACTGTTAGATCCCCTGCCTTTAATCTAAACCACGTCCGGTGCACCCAGACACCACAATGATGGGTGCCATACAGGTGCTGGTACGAATGCTTTTGCTGAGGGTCATAGTGTTATTTACCCCTTCACATAACACAAGACCCAGGGGGTCACCCAATGAAATGAACTGGCAGCAGGTTTAAAACAAACAAAAGGAAGTGTTTCTTCACACAATGCACAGTCAACCTGTGGAACTCCTTGCCGGGGATGCTGTGAAGGCCAAAAATATAATTGGGTTCTAAAGGGAACTAGATAAGTTCCTGGAGGACAGGGCCATCAATGGCAATTAGCCAGGATGGTCAGGGACACAACCCCATGCTCCGGGTGTCCCTAAACCTCTGACAGCCAGAAGCTGGGACTGGTCGACAGGGGATGGATCACTCACTAATTACCCTGTCCTGTTCATTCCCTGTGAAGCACCCGGCACTGGCCACTGTCAGCAGACAGGATCTTGGGCTGGATGGACCCTTGGTCTGACCCAGGATGGCCGTTCTCGTGTTCTCAGAAGTGCACTGGGTGCATGCGTGGCTGGGAGCAGAGATGCAGGCGGGGACAGATCTGTGCCGAGAGCCGAGGGCACGGCCCAGAAAGCTGGAGTTCAGTGGGGAGCCTGAATGATCCAGAATCTCCCACCCTTTTCCTGCTCACGAGCTGCGAGGGATCAAGGCTCCGTCTCTGAGCAGAGCAGCGACAGCCCCTCGGCCGAGAGCCCCTGTGGGAGCGGCTGGGAAGGTTTCGTACAATCTGGGGCCTGTCCCTTTAAGTGTGCGTTCCCACTTTGCTAAGTGGGTCACCCCACTCCCCCCTGGAGACGCCTCCTAGCCATGCTGCGCTGCCCCAATTAAAATATAAAGCTGGATTTGACAGCAGTTAAATATTTAACTATATGGAAAGGTCAGGGCTGATAACAGCCCTGTGTCTGTACCATCCTTCCTTTGTCTGGGGGAGCCTGCTGGCCTGACACCCCAGCTATTCCCCAGGCTCCTCGCCTACAGGCGCCAGGCACTAGGCAGCAGAGTCGGGAGGAGAAGTCAGAGCCAGAGGCCGGGGAGGAGAAAGCCATGCAGCCAGAGATGAGAGGTGGGGCTACAGGGGAGACGGCTCCTGCACCTTCCGGGATGGGAACGTGGGGAGGAGAGACCAGCGGGGAGGGCCAGCCAGGGCGAGTCCATGGAGGGCGTCACCGTGAAGGCAATGGTGAACTGGGTGCTGGACGTGGCTGGAGGGGACCTGATCTCGCTTCGTGGTGGGCGAGAGAGGGATTCCCCTGTGCGTGGCACGTGCCCTGCCCCTCTTCCAGAAGCAGCCCCGTGGGATGCTCCAGATACGGGGCTCTCGCGCCAGGCAGGGAGAAGCCACGTGAGCAAAGGGACAGTTCCGGAGAAAGGTCCTGGCTTCATGACGATCCCTCCCTGCCTAGATCCCGGTTCTCCCGAAAACCTGCCACACGCGACACGGGCTGTGGACCCCCGGGCCATGCTCCTCCAGCTCCCGCCCACACACGTCTCTGACGTTGGTTGGCAGCTGCCCCCAGCTCCTCTCCTCCAGGTGCTGATGCCAGCGGTGGCTGCTGGCGAGGTGGCAGGGTGGGTTCACCCACGTGCAACACACGCACGCTGGCTATTGCAGCCAGGGCGCCAACGTGCTGCTGCGGGCACGGGAGCTTCAGCCCTGCCCTGGTGCCTCCCCGGCCCCCAGCTGCTCCTGTACCTCGGGCCAATCAGGCTGAGCCTCTCACAGGCCTGTGGCCTCAAATGCCGGGGGGCGAGGGCTGGCCAGGGAGCCCCCAGCCCCGGGCCAGCGCAGGAGAGGCCCTGACAGTGTGTTCCCAGGGCCAGGCCGCAGATGTCCCAGGGGACCACTTCCCCCAGCAGCCCCCCGCATGGCTCTGTCTCCTCTGGGCGGCTGTGATCCTTAGGCATGTCACAGCCTCTGCTCACAGCGTCTGGCTGCCCGAGCCCAGCTGCGACGGGCGGCACGAGAGGCTGTAGCGGGCACCTGCCAGGAGTCCAGGGCTCTCGCTGGCGTCGCCGGCTCCTGGTGCACGGCTCTGCTTCTCCCTGGCCTGTGATGGGATCGGGTGGGCCCTGCTCAGCCGCCCAGCTGGGCCAAGCTGGGAGTTGGTGGAGTGGCACCAGAGAGGGCTCTGCCCAGGCGGGTGGGCAGAGAGGTGGCCAGGCCCCATGGGAGGGGCCTGGGTGTCAGGAGACCTGGGTTCTATCCCCGCCACTGCCTAGATAGGTGACCCTGGTCCAGTCCCCTTCCCTCCCCAGGCCTGGCGCCCAGTCACCCTTCCTGGTGGGGGGGTGGCCAGCTGGGCCGGGGCCTTGAGCTCTGCTGGGACCCAAGGGCGACGGTCATCGATAAATAACCCTAAATGAAGGCAGCAGCTCCACCGCCCCACTGCACCTCTGGGCTGGCTGCTGCCTCGTCCCTGTGCCCACTGGCTTCCACAGAGACCCCCTCCCGTCCCACATGTCTGGGGGCTAGCCCTGTGCTCCAGGAGGGAAACCAGGGCTCGTGGGCAAGCTCACAGAGCGGCCACCCACTGCAGGAGTTGGACTTACGGCCAGTGGGCGGCAGGAGGGAGCAGTGCCCCGGGGTCTCAGGCCGGCTGCGTGTGTATTGACTAGACTAACGCAAAACCAGTGTGCGATGGGAGCCAGAGCTGGCCTGAAGCTGGGGCAGGCCTGAGCACATGCAGGGGAAGCAGGGGGCCAGCACATAGGGCCCCTTGGGGTATCACAGAGAGGAGATGAGACCCTGTACGTGGGATCAGCGTGCGGTGGCAGGGGCCCATGTACACGATTTGGGGGGGAAGGGGTCCATGTATGGGATCGGGGTGGGAGAGGGGTCCACGTATGGGATCCGGCAGGGAGAGGGGTCCATGTATGGGATCGGGGTGGGAGAGGGGTCCACGTATGGGATCCGGCAGGGAGAGGGGTCCATGTATGGGATCGGAGTGGGAGAGGGGTCCACATATGGGATCCGGCAGGGAGAGGGGTCCATGTATGGGATCGGGGTGGGAGAGGGGTCCACGTATGGGATCCGGCAGGGAGAGGGGTCCATGTATGGGATCGGGGTGGGAGAGGGGTCCACGTATGGGATCCGGCAGGGAGAGGGGTCCATGTATGGGATCGGGGTGGGAGAGGGGTCCACGTATGGGATCCGGCAGGGAGAGGGGTCCATGTATGGGATCGGGGTGGGAGAGGGGTCCACGTATGGGATCCGGCAGGGAGAGGGGTCCATGTATGGGATCGGGGTGAGAGAGGGGTCCACGTATGGGATCCGGCAGGGAGAGGGGTCCATGTATGGGATCGGGGTGGGAGAGGGGTCCACGTATGGGATCCGGCAGGGAGAGGGGTCCATGTATGGGATCGGGGTGGGAGAGGGGTCCACGTATGGGATCCGGCAGGGAGAGGGGTCCATGTATGGGATCCGGCAGGGAGAGGGGTCCATGTATGGGATCGGGGTGGGAGAGGGGTCCACGTATGGGATCCGGCAGGGAGAGGGGTCCATGTATGGGATCGGGGTGGGAGAGGGGTCCATGTATGGGATCCGGCAGGGAGAGGGGTCCATGTATGGGATCGGGGTGGGAGAGGGGTCCACGTATGGGATCCGGCAGGGAGAGGGGCCCATCTACAGGATGGGGGGGGCCGTGTACATGATTGTGGGGGGAGAGGGCACCCCTAGCGTGGCTCCAGGTGAAGGTCTGGGGCTGGCAGTGTTGTCACCTTTGTAGCAAAGCAGCTGTTGGGATACATTTGGGGAAAAGGCAGAAATTGCAGGGCGGGATCTCGAGGGGCCCGGGGTGCAGAGGGAATAATGGGGGGCATAGGGGGAATTGTGGGGTCTGGAGAGGGGGAACATGACGATGGGTATCGCAGGGCCCACGGGCACCGTGGCTGGGGTGCCCGATCCCCATGCCATGGGCTCTGTGGTGCCCTCGGGGGCGTGCTGGGTCACCCTGTGTCTCTTTGCTCCCACAGGTGTCCTGTTTGCCCGCAGACCCCTTGGCCCAGGGGCGCCTGGCAGCAACAGCAGCAGGAGCTCCCACGGCCCGTCGAGCCCGGTGCCCGCGCAGAACCAGCGGCTCTCGGCCTCCTCACGCAGTCACACTCCCGCCAGTGCCTCGCCATGAGGGCGGGAGAGTCGCCGAGGACCCCCCACCCCGCCAGCCCCCCATCAGCCCCCTCAGAAATAAAGCAACTTGGAGTCAAAGTCCAGAATCCCAGGGGAGCACCCGCGACATGCCTTCTGCATGCGTGCCCCCCGCCTCTGACGCAGCAAGACCCCTTCTGCCCTGGCCACCTGGGCCACAGGAATCAGCTGGGGGGGGGCGCTCTGGCTGGGCTGCAGTGGGGTGAGGGGCTCTGGCCGGGCTGCTCTGGCCTGTGGGGCTCTGGCCAGACTAACTGTGGGGTGAGGGCTTCTAGCCGGGCTGCAGTGGGGTGAGGGGCTCTGGCCAGGGTGCAGTGGGGTGAGGGGCTCTGGCCAGGCTGCTGTGGGATGTGGGGTGAGGGGCTCTGGCCGGGCTGCAGTGGGGTGAGGGGCTCTGGCCAGGCTGCTGTGGGATGTGGGGTGAGGGGCTCTGGCCAGGGTGCAGTGGGGTGAGGGGCTCTGGCCGGGCTGCTCTGGCCTGTGGGGCTCTGGCCAGACTAACTGTGGGGTGAGGGCCTCTAGCCGGGCTGCAGTGGGGTGAGGGGCTCTGGCCAGGGTGCAGTGGGGTGAGGGGCTCTGGCCAGGCTGCTGTGGGATGTGGGGTGAGGGGCTCTGGCCGGGCTGCAGTGGGGTGAGGGGCTCTGGCCAGGCTGCTGTGGGATGTGGGGTGAGGGGCTCTGGCCAGGGTGCAGTGGGGTGAGGGGCTCTGGCCGGGCTGCTCTGGCCTGTGGGGCTCTGGCCAGACTAACTGTGGGGTGAGGGCCTCTAGCCGGGCTGCAGTGGGGTGAGGGGCTCTGGCCAGGGTGCAGTGGGGTGAGGGGTTCTGGCCAGGCTGCTGTGGGATGTGGGGTGAGGGGCTCTGGCCGGGCTGCAGTGGGGTGAGGGGCTCTGGCCAGGCTGCTGTGGTATGTGGGGTGAGGGGCTCTGGCCAGGGTGCAGTGGGGTGAGGGGCTCTGGCCGTGCTGCCCTGTCCTGTGGGGCTCAGGCTGGGAGGGCTGAGGACTTTGGCTTTCACTGCACACACTTGGACTTGACCAGTGTCGGGGGTGGGGGCGGGGAATGTGGCTGCTCACGTGTCCAGGCCGAGGCAGTGAGCGGGGCAGAGGGATCTGCATGCACCCTGCCCCTCACACACTCACGTATGATGCCCCACGCACACGCACACACAGAGCACATTCCCCCCCAGCATGCCCCCGTGGAATCCCCTCTCTCCGTTACACACACACACAGAGTCTGTATGTTACCTGCTCATGTGGGACACCTTTCATCGTTATACATAGAGCCTGCCCTGGTACACACTCACTTGTGGTACCCCCGTCACACACTCACATGTTGTACCCCCGTCACACACTCACTTGTGGTACCCCCATTACACACTCACTTGTGGTACCCCCATCACACGCTCACTTGTGGTACCCCCATTACACACTCGCTCATGGTAGCCACCCCTCTTGCACACGGTCCTGTTGTCTCCCTGCTCATCCTTGGCAAACCACATGTAGTGTACCTGGGGAAGCTCCCAGCCACCGGCCCCAAGGCCAGGCCAGAGAGCAGGACAAGGAGGAGCGGGTGGCGGGGGCAGGGAGACAGAGCAGCAGGCAGGGGAGGGGAATGTCTGGTCCTGGGGCTGGCCACAGTGCTCCTCATGGACTCAGCCAACCCCTAAGTGCCCCATCCTGCCCCCAGCCGGGGGCACTGGCAGAGCTGATGGGGCTGGCTGGGCACAGAAGCCTTTCTGGCCCTGGGGAGGAGCGGAGGGGCTGTTTGGATGCCAGCTGGGGACAGCAGCCCCTCATAGTGGTGTCTGGGCTCCTGTGCCAGGCAGCTCCTAGTTCGGTTGCTGGGTGCTCTTTGCCCCTCCTCTCAAGTCGCCTTCACCTTCGTTACTGAATTCCCTCCCTGTGGGGCTCAGGGCCACAACCCTGCACTGTGGGTACAGGGAGGGCACCCCCTGCGGGCCTGCACTGTCCCCCGTGCTCCCCTCCTCCACCCACAAGGCCCCCAAAGATGGGAGAAGGAGCCCGCGGGGCACTTGGATAAGCTGGACCCTGAGGTGTAAGGAGGATTCCTGGGGTTAAAGTGGCGACCTCAAAGCACCCACCTGAGCCAGGAATCCCTGGCCCCAGGGCGCCCGGCATTGCCCGCTGAGCTGTGGTGAGCTCGGCATAGATCCCGCCCGGCCCCCTGGTGCCAAACCTCACCAGACTCCTGCCCACCTCCCCCGGGGCTCGCAGGGCAGGATCCGTGCCCCCCCCAGGCCACAGGCAGAGGCAGGGTAAGGCTGTGTCGGGCGCCGGCCCAGCAGCAGGTGGATCTCACACGGACGAGGCCAGGCTGGGCGATCGGCCCCAGGGAAACGCCCGGAAGGGCCAAAAAGAGTGAAAAGGGAAATGGGGCTTTTCCACTGAAATTGTGATATTAAAAAAGCAGGACGTTTCCCCTCCCCCAGTCTGTACCCCGCCCTCCTCCTCCATCGCCCGCAGAGCCCCTCCCCACCCCCCACCGCCTGGCCTCAGCACTGCAGGGCGGGGGGCTGCAGTGAACATGGGAGGCACTGGGGCAGCCTGCTGCGGGGGAGGGGGGATGGGAGGGGCTAGGGCTAGTGGGAGGGGCAGAATGGGTTGCGAAGGGGTGGAGTCTGGGGGTGGAGCATAGGTGGTGGGCGGAGTCTAGAGCAGGCAGTGCAGGAGGGGGGGCCAGTCTAGGGGAGGCCGTCCTCGCCGAGCATGTCGCCCAGTTTGTCCCACGGTTGTCACCATCCTGGCACTGAGATCCAGCTCCCCCACCGATGCCAGCTGTGGTTCTCCCCATCCCCATCAACTCCCCCCCCCACCTTACTGCAAAGACCCCCCCCAAATACCTCACTGTGCAGAGAAGCTGCCAGGCAGGGAGCACACGGCGCTACCTCATCCCCCCCCTGCAGGGCCCTTGCCCGCCGCGACTCCAGAGCCCTCTGGGGAGCCCGGCGGGATGCTGCCTTCCTTCCCTCCACTCGCTGCCTCGCCCAGGGCTGGGGGGTTCGTTTGCACGCGTGTAAATTGCTATGGTACTAAAGAAGGGAACAAGCAGATCTAACCTCACGGCTACCTCATTGTGCGCCAGGAGGTGCCAACCTCCAGGCTGGCAGAGGGTGCCAGGGGTGACACCCAGAGTCTGGCCTGAGTGGTCTTTGCAGCCTCAGTGCTTTCTACTGCAGGGCGAGGCCAGGAGATCCGTGCCGAGCTGAGGGCCACGGCGCCGTCGGCAGACTCAGAGCCGCGGGGTGGGCTTGGGCGGTTCCTGGTGGGAATCCCCTTTTCATCTTCCCAAAGGGTCAAAGAACAATAATCCTGCAACTGACCAAAGACGCCCTCTTCCCCGAAGAGGATTCTCTTCCTGTGCCCCCCGGGGCTCCCCCAGAGCTGCCTCCCGGTGGTGGCGCAGGGAAGGAGCGGCTGTAGACTGCCAAGGCTCTGTTCAGCCCGTCCTGCTGGGACGTGCTGGGCACCGCATCAGCGCCCGGCGTGGCTGGAAGAGACGGACACTTACGGCGCCGTTCCACCGGCCCCTGAGGACAAGGGACTGGACTGAGCCAGGGTGTGGGCGGCCGGGGCTGGGGTTGAATTTCAAAGCTCTTGTACCAAAGATCCAGTGCCTCAAGCACTTGGCTTTCACTTTGTAGGGCCAGTAGCACCCGGAGAAGGGGAAAGGAAGCAGAGAATGATCTTACTTCTGTCTATTTGTCTGTCTGTCTGTCTGCTCTTGGCTAGGAGCTCTTCCTTTGCTGTGCTAGGCTTAGAGGCTGTATTGGCTTTCGCTCGCTGTGTATGAAGCTTTCCGAGGTTTCTTGCTTTTCCTCCGTTCAGTTTCTTCTCTCGTACGGTTCGGAGTCGATCCAGTGCACGCAGTGGCAGCTGGATTGTGGTGCTCAGGGGTATGAAATAACCAGTAACCAAAAAAGGATGAAAGAGACATTTTCCTGCGGCTGCTCTGAGTTCCAGCGTGTTCAGACAATTAAAATGCTGCTTTTCACTGAGCTCTCAGCTGCCTGTCTTGTGTCTGGCGTTCCCGGTACCCACAGTGCTCCCTGCCCTCGGGCCGGGATTCTCTGGGCATGGTCTGGGCACCGGGCTGGGCACCGCAGCATCAGGTCATGCACAGGTCTCCCAAGAGTGCCGCCTTGCAGGGGGCAAAGTGACGGTGAGGAGGGGGCTAAGCCCACACCGCTCAGGGCGCTGGGACAGGGGCCCCTTGTGTTCCCTTTTCTCTGGAGAGATCTGGGTTTAAGGCCAACCCAGGCTGAGAGTGGTGACAGGTCTATTGGTCTCTCAGGCCCGAGCACAAACCGGGCTGCATGGCAGAACCACCCCACATTTCAGCAGAGCCTCGGACCTGCCAGGACAGCACCAGGAGGGGAGTTACTGAGAGGCGTTGGCAGAAGGGTGGTGGGAGCCAGACCAGGGATAGCAGGGGCTGCAGGGCGTTAGCAGGGACCGTTGGTCCAGGAGGGCATTGCTGTTTGAACATTTCCCATCTCCCCCCCGCATCCATCGCATGCTGTTCCCATCTGTGGGGACTGCACCTGGGACTTTCCGGGCCAAAAGCGCAGGCCTCTGTCATTGGAGCCAATGGAGAGTACGTCCCTGTGTGCAGCAGTGGTAGGTTGTTATCATCCCTGGGGCCAACTGCTGGAGCGGGACAGGAAGACAAGCACAAGGTTAGCAAATCACACACATTCAGGGCGCAGCAGAGGTGGGGAGGCATGACCGTGAGGCAGCATTGTGTCCCCTGGAGGTCAGGCCCCATGGGGCCCAGTCCCAAGGATAAAGCCCATCTTGGCTGAATTCCCTTTGGCCGTGCTCTGATTGCGTCTGTGCAGCGAGCTGGCTGTTATCAGCCAACACACGCCTCCCGTGGATGGATTGGCAAATCCATACTGGGAGCAGCGAGATAATCGGCTCAATAGCTCAGGCCAGTCACTCGCATGGGAAGGTCCCAGCGACAGTCTGCGGTCCCCAGGGGTCCCTCCCAGGGGCCCGGGGCGAGGAGGGGACGTACACCGCACACCAGGTGACAGGCAGTCTGCAGCTCTGCCCGGTTAACAGTCATGTGGGCAGTGCAGCTGGCATCCACAGCCACCTGGGGGTGAGATCCCCTCGCACACGGGCAGGAAACGCACCCCCAGAGCAGAGGGGCGCTATGGACCGTGATGCTGGCCACTCAGTAGATGGCGCATTGCCCTTTGACTCAGCCCAATGCTCCAGCCCGGTACTGGTGCCAACCTGCCAACAAGCCAGGAAAGGCAAGGCCCGGCGGGTCATACCCACCCCCAGTGCTGCCCGTCTGGGGTCTCAAAGCACTTTACAGCCCATTAGACCTCACATTGAACCTCTTCCTAAGCAGGCAGCAACTTCTACGCTCCCGGGGTGCCCCCCCAGAGCCTTCCCGCACCCCCTACATGGCCACGTCCCCAGCCAAGCAGGGGGTGCACTGCAAACCCCGGGAGATTCGCTCCCTCAACTTCACGCCCAGCCCAGCCGCCCCCATCCTTTGCTGCTCACCAAGGACTGAAGCTTCCTCCAGCTTCCCCCTCTCAGAAGGGCTTTTGCCAGCTGGGACGGGGCAGGAAGCCTCCAAGTGACCAGTCTGCAGGGGGCGTTCCTCACTGCAGCCCCGGGACAGCGGGGATTGACCCGGGGACCCCGGCGCTAAAAGCACAAGCAGCTACAGCTCAGGCTGACCCAGACTCACGGCCCCTGGGGGCCAGACGCATCACACCCCCTCACCAGTGGGTTACCCTGCTCCACTCGCAGCCACC